GGTAACGGTTTTGTTAATGCAAATGGTAATGGAATTCCAAATAGCAATGGCAATGGTTTTATCAATACAAATGGTAATGGAATTCCAAATAGCAATGGCAATGGTTTTATCAATGGAAATGGTAACGGTTTTGTCAACGCAAATGGTAATGGAATTCCAAATAGCAATGGCAATGGTTTTATCAATGGAAATGGTAACGGTATTCCTAATAATAATGGTAACGGTTTTGTCAATGCAAATGGTAATGGAATTCCAAATAGCAATGGAAATGGTTTTATCAATGGAAATGGTAATGGCAACGGTATTTCAAATGGAAATGGAAACAATGTTGCCAATGGTAATGGTAACGGTAACGGTAACGGTAATGGAATCAGTGGGAACTGTATGAGATGAATTTCTTTTAACAATCATTTGATCGATTTTTATAGGCAACATTCCTAATAACTATCCTGGTATAGTGTTTCCAGGCAGTGATTTAATGTTCTACAACAACAACTTTCCTCTTCGAAGTCAGCAAGCTCTAAAACAACGAGTTCGACAAACTATTCCTACAACAAAACGTCGTTTATCAACGATTCGTCGAACACCAGTTACTTCTCCAAGAACTCAAGGAGTCACTACTATTCGTGGTAATAAAGTCAATAGTAGTGTTCGTAAACCGGTGCAAACACAAAAGAAACCACAAGCAAACAATCGTACCAAAAGTTAACTTTGAATGATACATGCATACATATGTCTTCTTCTTTTTTTTAATCTTATTTTCTTTCTCTTAAATAAAAGAATTTTTGTCAAATTATAAATAGTTCTGTAATTCATCCGTTTTCTATAACAATTAATTCCTTTTTTTTTTGCTTCGTATCAATACACATACACAAGCATAAACACCCTTCTAATACAGATGCATTGAAGCGTTAAGATAGCAATGTATATGCCCACGATTTTGCGCATCGTTCTCCTTTCCATTGTATCTCTTTCGGATTTTTTTTTTCATTTTTCTAACCTTGCACTTGTTTATTTCATACACATAGATTGGTAGCTATACATGTATCGACTAAGCATTCTCATTCATATATACGTATGTTGTTTTACTATTCCTCACGTACGAAAACGTCCGTTTCATGGTTTTATTTACGAGTGTATCGTTGGCAGTCAGCAAATTTCATCGTCGTCACTATCATTGTGCTGCTTGCTGGCGTGTGACGCGTCCTCTTCTCTCCTATTTTAGGCATTGTATATTTCGTTGTCTATTTTTCTTTTCCTCTCTCTGTAGTACTTTTTATGACTTGCTCATACGACACATCGATGCACGCCAAAGCATTAGCTTACATGCAATCAGGCAGCAATGAGAGAAAGAGACAGAGACAGAGACAGAGACAGAAACAGAAACAGAAACAGAGACAGAGACAGAGACAGAGACAGAGACATAGACAGAGACAGAGACAGTAATGGGGTACAGAGGACGGCAGAGAGAAAAAGAGATGGCAAAAAATTAAAACATCCTCATTGAAGCACATCAAGGTAAAAAAAGGCTTTTTTGTATTTCTGTCTTTTTCTTCTATTCTCTTTCTTTTTTTTTACTTCTTGAGTCCAGTTGTTGTTTGTTATTGATGATCATTATAATCATTGTGCTCTTTTTTTAGCATTCCTATTTATATGAAATTTTAGCCTATTTTAGAAAAATAAGAGAAACCACCTGTTAATCTTCTGCTATGTATGCAGGACCAAGACCACGTGCGTAACATTTCTCTACAACTCTTTTTTTTATTTTGTAAAAATTCCGTTTATTTTATTCTGATAGCATATGTGCCTTATGCTGCATCTCGGCGTCGTGCCCACCGTAGAGGTTATCCACGACCAATAGGTCCTCGACCCGGAGGAGTTGCAGTCGTACCAGTTGGAGCAGGAGCTGGTGGAGCTGGTATTCTCGCAGCCATTCTTGGGCCTATTGGTGGTCTTACTGGATGTTTATGCTGTCTGAATACCATCGGTATTTGGGGTCTTTTCATCACGGCTATTCCATTGACTGTCTTTATCAGTAAGTTTATTTGTGTTTTATGTTATATTTTTCATATCATTAATTTTCAATTTGTTCTTCTCATTTCAAGGTCGATGGCTCCGCGATTATAGAAATCGTAATGGCTTAAACGGTGCCAGCGAACTTCTTGCTCCTCAATTGCTTCTTCTTGTATTGCTCGTATGTTCGTTCTTATACACGTTCATGCGTCGCTCATAAACAAAAAAAAATAAACCAACGACCATTTGGTCTCTTCTATATTTATGGTGTAATTTCTTCACTATATACACACACACATACACACATACATACATAAATACACACAATAAATGGTTTTTATTTTTTTTTGTTCATAATCTTTTTTCTTCTTTTGCAACACAACGAATTTTTCCTTTTTTTTCTCCACGTGATATTTTGTAACTCGCGCGCGATTGAACTTTTTTTTTTTAAAGCAGCAAAAAATATGATGACGACGATGACGATAACGACGACAAAACACTATCCATAATAACACAAATTTATATAATTTGATAGCAATCGTGGCGACGTTCACAGTGTTTTTCTTTTTTGCTTTTTATTTATCTAATTTTTTTGTTTTTCTTTTCTAATCTTCAAATCATAAGAAATATTTAAATAAAAATTGAGACATCATTTATTGTGTGAAACGAATGTCAATTCAATCGAAGCTAAAAGATATTTCATTATTGCATCATTATGATCAAGAGAATGACCTTGACTTAATAGTAAAAAGAAATTATTGTTTTAAACTCGATTAAAAATTCATATATTTAAGCGACAATCTATTCTATATTGATTTCTATTTTTGGGCTTTCAGCGTTTTTTTTACTATTCTTTTTTTTGACATTATCAATGTTACTCATATCATTTTGTCATGCATGGTTTCTGCACAATATACATTTCTTTCTTGAGGCTTGTATCAATTTGTCTATAAGTGGTGTTTTTTTCTTTTTTTTCCTCTTTTTTTTTCTGTCTTTTATGGGGCTGTTAGTTATCTTCCTTCATGGTTGAATGCGTACATTAACGAAAAAAAACCTCATCTTAACTTTTTTTTTCATTGATTCGAAAGCATTCATTAAGGTAGAGCTTCCTATGTGCTGTCACCTTCAGTTGATAGATATGCCTAGCACAAAAAAAAACCAAGAAAGAGAGAGAGAGAGAAAGAGAAACCTGTATTGCCTGTGTCTAGCAAAGTGTATTCAGAGAGAGTATGAAGGTTTTTCTTTTTCGTAAGGGTAGGTAGATAGCATGAAAACAAGCTTATTTTTTTTTGTAGACACTTTCTCTTTTTTTCTTCTCTCTTCCCCTCTCTCATCGATTTTCGTTTGCATGTTAGAGAGAAAACTCGGAATGCAAAAACAGGGAGAAGAAGAAGATAAACAAATCTGATCTTTTCATATGAATAATATTGGTTAAACAACTATTATTTGTAAATATATTTTTTTTCTGTTGATTATTGTTGTAGACAACCGGGTGTGTAATCTAAACACTCAATAATGGAAGGTGCTATAGCCGCTGCTCTCGGCCCAGTTGGTCTTCTTTCAGCATGTGCCTGCTGTTTAATTGTTGCTGCTATTTGGGGCCTCTTTGCCACAATGATTGCCTTGGCTGTTTATACGAGTAAAGAAAACAGTTGTTTTTTTTTAATTTTTGTCTAAAATTTCTTTTCGTGATTTTTGTAGGACGGTGGGCAAATGCAGTAAGACAGGCCAACGGTTTAATCAATGAAGGTTTACATTTGGTTATTAGCCAAGCTCTGCTTATTGGAATTCTATGCGTATATGGCTATATTGGACTCCGGCGAGCATTGCGCTCTGCTGCTTAAACTAAACACTATATACGATTGTTGACAGCGAATACAAGTGATATCAAATAATACCAACAACACCACTTTTTTTTTAAAGAACACTATGAAACACCACGATTATAAACAATAAAAATACTTAATACATGATGATGATGATAATGTGCTTCATTTTTCTTTTAAATTTTTTTTCTTCGCATGTTTTTTTTTCTTTTTTGCATTTCATTCAAAGCCCGTTGTGTAAAAACAATGCCAATATATTTAATTATAACATCAGTATATTTTCTTTTTTAATACAAAAAAAAAACATAATAATTTCTTTATTCAAGAAGATCACATCAACACACACACTCGTTTTTCATAAATAGAATATTAGTTTAAAATACAATAATATTAGTCTATATATTGTTTATAGTGTAAAGAAATAACATTTGGGAAGAAATATGAGTGTTAAAAAAAAAACCAGTTAATGTTCTCATTAAAAAGTAAACGTTTACTATTTGTTTTCGATATGTGTTCTGATTTTATCTAGTTGAAACTATGAGGTTAGAATAATTAATGTAAGTGAAAATTATATTCTCTTGAAATAATTTCTTCTTGAACAATAACATGCATTTATAAGACATTTTTTGGAGGTTTTTTGTTGTATCGAAAAATTTCATGAAGACGATTATCAATGCCTCATAATATATAAAACTCAAGGAAAACTTGTCAAGGTTTTGTACAAAAATCTACTTAAAAGACAATATTCAATTAAACAAGCAATAAATATTAAATAAACCGAAATCTATAGATCAAATGTATAAAATAGAAATAAAAAGAAAGAAAGAAATGATCGTTTCCTCTAGATTATTGAATGCATTATATGATGGTAAATGGATGAAAATATTTCAAACATTTAAAAAATACTTCAATGTAATGGATGGTCCATAAAGAATGAGAGTCTCCATAATTTCTCTAGTTTTCATAGACTCGGACTGAACATTTTTCAAAAATATTCAACACTTAATTCTCTATAAAATCATATACAAATAGGTATTACAGGGATAAAAATTATGATAGTAATACTATAAACATGCAATATTAACAAATTCCAAATACAAAATTCAATTGTCCTTATGTATTTTCATATAGAACTATATAGACAAATCGTATTATCCATTTTGTAGAGTTTCAAGAAGATCTATCTTATTACTATGTTCAAAAATGCTCATAATGAAACCTTATTACATCAAATAAGCGTTAAATAGGCGTTACTTTTTTACACATTAAAAACACGCGATTTTTTCATTTGAAATAAATAATGTTTATTTACTCGTTATTTTACACAATAAAGTTTTATTATGAAAATTCTTGAACATATTAATAAGATAGATCTTTTGAAATTCGACAAAATAGATAGTACGATTTGTCTATATAGTTCAACATGAAAACACACATAAATACAGAACAATTGTGTTTTGTTTTTGGAAGTTGTTAATGTTGCATGTTCGTAATATTATTATAGTAATTTTTTAAATTTTATCCCTGTAACATCCGTTTGATTCTCATTCTTTATTAGAGCATCCATTATTTAGTATATCGATTCTTCAGTTGGTCGTACAATGAATAAAATCGATAGGATTAAACTCACACAGCATATAGAAATAACTTTTATTAAATTTAGACAAGAAATTTTTGAATTATCAAAGTTTAGTTAATGAATTTATACTTCAAGCTATTCTTGTTATTCTACATATGTTTCATCTTCAAAGACATCGGCATCAAGTATAAGTTCTTTCGTTAATCTTTTAAACATTTTCATATTGTTTTATTGTAAAAAGCAAATAGCTGCTATTATTTTCAAATGTTTGTCAACAATTATATTATCACCAATATGATATCAAAAAACAACTTTTGTTTAAAAGAAAAACACATGACGATTTGTATGAATTATTCAATATGATATTTTCTTCATAATTTTTCATCAAAAATTAAATAATCCAATTTTAAGTTTATCGATAAATTAAAGTCGATTTGCGTAGTGAACATATCGGAAAGTCACAATGAATATTTGTCATCAAAAGAATGATCGCGTGCGTTCATTTTCATTTGGTAATTACAGCTTCTGTTTTTTAATGTATTGTACATTATGACGTGGTGATTTTTCTTCTCTCTCTCTCTCTCTCTGTCTTCTTTTTTTTTGAAGGTTATCGCTTGAGGCAGACATGCATTTGAATGAACAAGCAATACACATCTGTATTGATGACCACACCCTTTCTTATTCTAATGCTACTCGTCACCTTACTGCCATATACTTATTCAAATCATAAACCTATCTCTCATATATATATATATATATATATAAATATACTCATCACTTGTAAAAGTCATTAGATGAGACGAATTAACTCAATATATAAGTGGATTAATCGATACTAAGAAGCCATATCTATATCGATTTACATTGTTAGCATGATAATCGCGTGCGAACTGACAAGTAACTAAGATGGATGAAGTTCATTTGGATACAATTTTCATATGTCAAGGAGTTTTTTTTCTTCGCTTTTATACTTGTAAAAGTATTTTATTGAAATCATTAACTGAATTATGAACAAAAAAAAAAGTAATCGATGCCAAATACATTCTATACAATGAAAATACGATTGGTGTAACATGCGTGTTAATATCAATCTCGAAGGAATAGTATGTGCATGTAGGCGAAACCGATTAGTAATAGTGATGATCAATGAGAAGAAAAAAAAGTCGTATTGTTTCTATGAACCTGTCATTAGGGAACAAGGAAGAGTGATCGAACTAATTACCAGACTGTTCATTCGTCTGGCTAACGTATTTGTCAAGTCATACTTCAACCGGACAATATCCCTTTACACTCAGGTGTTCAATCTCTCGTCAATGATCATCAGTTTTTTTTTTCTTGTCATCTCTTTAACTGATTGGTTGATTAAAAGAATATTGGTACAACCAGAACAAGAGAGAGAGAGAGAGACAGAGGGAGAGAGAAAGAACGAGTCTATAATTTTCAAGATCAAATGTGTACAGAAAAAAAAAAGAAGAGAACAGATGAACAAATTTGTGGCGCTTGATTGAGTTGTTCATTCAGTCGGCGTCCTGCGTGCATTTTCAAGTCTCTCGAATTATCCATTATCTCGATAATACGGGCGGGCCCTCTTTCTTTTTCGGTACCGATACTTGAAAACGTTTATACGATTGTCGGGACAACCTTCATCATTGTATGGTGCAAACGAGTTTGTATTTATACACATATGTGAAACAACAATAATTGAATATAGTTAAATAGATTGTGTAAGTATAAGTTATATTAATTCGTGATTTTGCAAAAAACATTTCTTATCTGTAAATATTTTGTCATTTTTTTTTCTTTCGCACACACCGTCTGTTCCTATACCCAGCATAAATCATGTTCTATGACATTAAATTAACAGGCATCATATGGCTCTATTATTTGTTTTTTGCTTGTATAAAGAATCAGGTTTCTTTATGTATTATACACCGTTCAAATTATTGATAAATAAACATATGTTTTCTTTTATTATTATTTTACTATTTTAATCGAATTGAATTATAAATATTGTTCTTTGTGTTTTGTATAGGACTTCTTCTCTTCAAATTTTAATCATATGAAATCTATATTTCTTTTTTGATGAGATTTCTTTCTTTCTTTTTTTTTTTCGATTGAACAATATCTAAATTGACATTATTCTTCTATCGCTGATTAAAGTGCTCTTTGAACTACTCGAATAGTTTGTATGTCACTTAAAATTCTTAAGTTGAATATGAGTTCGTTCTCTTTTTTTTTTTTCTTCTATTGATATATAATTGTTTTAATCCGTATATTGTATATGAGAATGTCTAAACAAATCAATGAACGAACGTACATACTCGGAAATTGACTGATGGAATAAAAAGCTCTTTTAATCGATCGATAGTGTTGATAGATGACTGTCTCAAGGTTTTGACTTCGTCTCAATATAATAGTTTGCTTTTTTTTTTTGTTTCTTCTCCTCCTATCGTGTTGAAAGATAAGATTTACATGGTAGATCATGAACATATTTTATGATGATAGACAACGTTTGTTAGTGAGTTAGCGTGAAGAAGAAAAAAAAAATAAAAAAATAGATATAAAGTAACTTCTATAGAATATATTCAATTTACATATGAACAGCGCGTGTGGATAATACGAATAAGGTAAGCGACACTCACTCAATTTGAACTGAGAGAGAGAGAGAGAGGCAAAGCTGTTAAAATCCGAAACGAAAATATGAATGAATATTCATGTGTGAAGAAGAGACATAGAAAGGATAAGACGATAATGTGACAAGAGTTGACAAACACGTGCCCAATGTTGAAATATTAGACTTTATTATTATTTTTCTTTAAATAAATGAGATGATATCTTATCGTCTTATTTAGATTAAATTATTCTATTATAAAGACAATAATAATCATTTTGTTATCGATAGGATTCTCAAACTTTTTTTTTCAAAATATCACGTATGTATTTTTTTTATAAAATATCACCATAAGCCTACATTGTAATATCCCATGTGTTCCAAAAGTTCGCAACCAAAAAAAACTCTCCTATACAATCAGTAGCTCTTCGAGTTGACTTAAATAAAAGTAAATTGTATTACGAAGTTTAAGAGAACATTATAATCGTGACAATCAGAATGAACCTAAGACAAGTCGAAGTGTAACCTTCTTTTAACTCATTTTATTTTTAAGTATATTGCAAAGTTTATTTATACGAACCAACATTAGAATAATCTCTTTTTTAAGTTTCTTGCATTGACTCAACTAATGTCCGTGTGAACAATGGTTAATGATCTGTGATGTTCTGCAATTGAAAGAGGAGAAGTTTGGACACTTTTTGTTTGATAGTATATAAGAGAAAATTATTTTAAACTCCATACCTTCTCAATATTTTTAAAAAAATGCCTGAATATAGTATTCGATTTTGATGTTGACATGTATTTCTGATAGAGGACTTCAGATTTATAGTTCAAGGCACACTTTCAGATGATTATCTTTTCTCATATGTAAATGCTGAGTAAACGAAATCACTTATCTACTCAGTCAAATTGTATAGAAGTCTCTTGAGGTTTAGAAAATTTTATGATTTTTTATCAAATTTTTATTTAGTATCAGACAGTAAGGCGTCCTGAGTTCTCTTTTTCGATTACTGAAAACCTCAGATCACTGGCCAATGTCATTGTCGAGTTATTGAGTTTATACTCACCTCTCTGTAATTCTGACATAGACATTAATAATGTTGATTTCAGCGATCATGATGCTTACAATATCCATGTACTACGTTCAGAAGATTTAACCCCTTGAGAACGGGAAATTTACATATATATATACGTCTGGTTTTCGAATCAACTCCTAATTGATTTGCATATACCTGTTATGATATTGTCATAATTTGCAGTAGCATATAGATCGTCAATCTGTTACACTGCTATCCGTATTATGAGGGTACAGCTAAAGAGAAAACCTACACCTAGATATAGTCAAGATGAAATCGAGACCAATATTTTTTCATTGAGAGTGATATCTTTTATGATGGTATAAAACTTGTGTCAAATATCATATTCTCACGACTTATGTGTTTGAAAATTTTATGCGCAAATTATTGAATAACGATCATTTCACTATTTGTTGTTCCAATTTTGATAGCAAAATCAATCCTTTTTTTCGTAAACAACAGAGTTGTTGAACTCATAAACGTACCAAATAGATGAAGTATTAGTGAATTAAAAAAAATAATTTAGAAGTCATGTGGATCGTGCAAGATGTTTCAAGTTCATTGATACTATCAGAAAATGATATCATATTTTTCGCCAGTACATGTATTAGTCAGCGCGAAAGCAGAATCAAAAACGATTGTTCCTGCTCATCATTGCCGACACTCTCAAGATTATCATACTCTATAATACTTTTACAAAAGTAGCTCCATATCTCAAGAAGTTTTAAAAAAATCATATTTAAGCTATTAATGCTACATCATGATTTTTAAAATATTATTTTTGTTAAGAATATATTTATTTCAGATTGAATAATGTTTCGTATTTTATGCATCATTTTCTTCTCGGTATCTTTTAATTATTCTCAAACAATAAAACATCTTAATGAAATATCAATCGAAGAAGAATTATCTATTGGTTCAATAGTAACATCATTAATAGATAAAATTCCTAATTTAGAACAATCAAATGAATATGATCTTGTTACACCATTATCTATTGATCTTGATTTATTTTCAATAAATCATAGTCAACATTGTCTTATAATAAAAAATCGTATTGATTATGAAAATCTTTGTTTAAAAAAAAATCATTGTATTATATCTGTAAGTATAGCTGTTTCAAATGATGATACAATTGATGTTTATATATTACCTATTCGTATATTAAATAAAAATGATAATTTAATAAAATTTCTTGTTAATCGTACAATAATTGAAATTGAAGAAAATGATGAATATTGGTTTAAAAAAAATTATACTTTACCACATGCATATGATGATGATGAAGATTTAATAACATATTCAATTTATTTACAAAATTGGAATAAACCATATGGTTTATTTGAATTTGATGAAAAAAATTTATTATTAAAACCATTAAAAAAATTTGATCGTGAAGAACAAAATATTTATTTACTTCGTCTTATAGCACATAATCAAAATGATATATCAACAGATATAATTATTTTAATTAAAGATATTAATGATAATATACCAAAATGTCAACAAAATCAAACATTATTTCTTATAACAAATCAATCATTAATATCAAAATTTTTATTAAATGTAACTGATTATGATGAAGGTGATAATGGAAAATTAGAATATAATATTGAAAATTCATTATTAGGATTTAGTATTGATCGATATAATGGTGAAATTAAATTTGATTATAAAAAATGGATTCGTTCAAATGAATCAATATTAATTATTAATATAAGTGATCATGGTAAACCATTACGTTTATCAACAAAATGTTTTATTGAAATAAAATTAACATTTTTATATGATATTGATTTTAAATCAAATATTTCATTAATTAATCAAACAAATATTTATATTAATATTGAAAATATTGATTTATCATTAGGTTATTTTTTAATTTATGATAAACAATATAATAAATCATGTTTAGATTGTTTAATTAATATAAATTCATCATTAAATGATATTTTTTATTTTAATTATTTAACATATGATTTATATTTAAATTTAAATTCAATTATATTAATGAAAATTTTAACAAATTATATTCATTATAAAGAAAATATTTCATTAAATATTGAAATTAATATTATCAATTTAAAATATCCATCAATTCAATCAACAAAAATTTATTCATTTATAATTCATTTAAATAAATTAAATTTATTAATTAATTCAAATATATTTTTTATGAAAATTTATGATAATATTTTATTAAATGAACATATTTCAATTTATAATCGTTATCATCATTGTTTAAATAATCAATCCAATCAATTAATATTAATTGATCCAACAGATACATTTCATATTGATAAAAAATTTAATTTAATTTTAAATAAATATTTAAATATTAAACAACAAAATATTTATTATTTAACTGTTCAACAAAAACAAACTAATTCTACAAATAATGTAAGTTCAATATTAAGATTTCTAATCCACTTAGATCAGGCCTAGAACTTTGATACTCTCAATGAAATTTTCTATCCAAAATTGGACAGTCGCCTTGAAGATACGAGATATTTTTTTACAGTTTTTTTTTGTATTTGGCGATTAGAACATCCTACATATTTCCTAGATGACTAGAGTTCATCAGATCCAGAATTTTTGGACCTAGGCTTGACCGAGCCTGGGACTAGCACGACCAGTTCTGTTAATGTTTGCTATGATTAGAGTTCAACGGTTCTAATTCGGTTGCCAAAATATGATTCGGAATCGAAAGCGTTAACATATCAGATAGATACCAAAGATTTCAGATATATTTTGATAGAATTCTTGAGATTAAAGACGTCACATATTTCAGTGCTTAAACAAAACAATATTATACATAGATACTGAAATCTGTAATCTTAAAAATGAAAAAATGACGATTTCTCGACATAGATTAAAGAGGTTCCGAAACTTCACCAATCTGATTGTGAATAATATACGGATTAAAAACAATCCCTATTGGATACGTTGATGAGTGTAAGCTATGATCGAGAGTGTTTCCTCCCCAATCTTGAGAAATTTTCGATTGTCCCCAATGAAGTTCTAGCATTTTATTCATTTTTTTTTGCTCACCTATTCCCAAAAGTCTCTAGATCCTATCCGCAGAATCCGATCAATTTTAGCTCAAATCTTCCAAATGTATCCTATATTAATATTGATTCGTGACAGCTTGCGAATGTCCTATTGGTGAAATTCCGATCATCCGGATTGAAGAATTTTTGTATCTCTCTAATGATTTAATAGTTCCGGTTTTATTGAAATCACTTCAACAGTTCTTTTAGATCATGTTTTACAAAATTTTTAATTTTCTTTTATTTAGATGAATATTTGTTCGGTTCAACTTCGCATCTATATTCTTAGTCCATATTCAATTGCTAATGTTTTTCCGTATTTTACTCAATCATTTTATATTTTATCAAGTAAAAATTTATCACAATTTTCTCTTCCATTAATTCCATCTTATGTCAAATATATATCATCGATGCCAGATATAATTTCAATCGATCCATATAATGGTTCAATTATAATTCGTTCATCTTTATTATATTCATCTCATTATTATGATTTTTCTATTAAAGCAATCGATTCTCATATACCATCATTAAGTAGTTCAATACCAATTCGAATATTTTTTGGTATGAATAAATATTCACCTCGTTTATTAATAAATTCTACAAGACAATCTATTGAAATATTATCATCAAAATTTCTCTATCAAATAAAAGCTTATGATCCTGATATATTATTAAATGATCAAACAAATTTATATCCACCATCAATTGAATATGAAATAGCTAATAAATTAATAAATATTGAAATTGAACGTTTTACTGGTCGAATATTTCTTAAAAATTTAAATAAAACAAAAATTAATTTTACATTAATTATAAAAGATTTTGGTCAACCAAATCGTTTAATAACTCAACAAACATTAATATTTGATATAAAATCAAATGAAAATATATCAATAAAAGTTTTTTTAATTAGTATATTATTAATAATTATAATTGTTATTTTATTAAGTATTCTAATACTTATTATTAATAATTGTTGGATAAGTCATAAAAAAAAATTCAAAATTCAAAAAAAACCAACTTGGCAAAATATTTCACCAACAACGCCAGATACATGTTTAATTGATAATGAATATGTAAGAATAATTTATTAGAGAAAAAAACAAACAAATAATTCTTATTTTAGATGACAACAACAATAACACCATTACCTCGTGTATCAAGTCGTGAACAAAGAATTTATCCAGCATATTCATATGTTAATGATTATCAACATCAACGTAGAATTTTTTCACATTCATCATTAGATAAAATTAATTTTCAATATTCATCAGAAAAAATATCTTTTAAACAAAATTATCAACAACGTTTATCAATGACTGATATTAATAAATATTTAGAACGTTTTGAAAAACTTTATAATGATTCATCATCACAACAATATTTACATCAACCGATTGGATCTGTTGTATAAACATTCGTTTATTTTTCTTTTGTGTCTTTTTTTTGTTTTAGTGAATATAAAAATATATATATATATTTGAAAAATACATGTAGACATGCCAATCGATGATTTGATAATAGATTATTTCTACAAACAAAAGAATTAAAATAGTTAGAATTCAAGATTAAATAAACGAAAGATATGAATTAAAGGTACGCTGGAGCCCGCTCGATTCGAAAAAGTTTAAAACATGAGACTATATCAAAACAGTTCCGACTTGATGAACGTTCGAATAAAGATAAAATCTGACTGGCTCACTCTGGCGAAGAATGGTTCATGATACAGTTAGAATATATTCTGTGCTATCAAACAATAAGTCGAGAAATATGAATAAATCCAAAAGAAAGACCTTAAAAGAACTTCTCTCCTTCCTGGCACTTCTAGAGAATAGATCTACGATAATTGGTCACGATACTGAAATATAAAATTTGCAAAAAAAATATTCTTATGAGGGAATTTTCTCAAGTGACACCTGTCGTTTGAGTTCATATTGGACCGACATGCAGATCTCAGTGAGAATAACACAAGCCTAAAAATGTTCGTCCCCATTAACTTTTGACACCGAGTTATAATCGGTTTTTAGGTACCCCCCCCTCCCCCGGGAGACCAAGTAACGAAGTTTTAATCCAAAATTTTGCCTATAGATAAGTCTAATGACTCTTAGAATATCTTGAAAGTTTCTGTTGAAAAAAATGTTCCTTCGTCAAGATATTGAATTTCCAAAAAACTAAAGTTCACTTGAAAATTCAATAAACTCGACGAAGAAATATTCTTTCCGGTTGACACTTTCAGTATATTCTAAGAGTCATTAGACCTATCTATAGGCAAAATTTTGGATCAAAGCTTCGTTATACGGTCTTCCGAAGAGTATCTAAGAATGAGTCAAAAATTCAGTAAACTGGTCATAATTTGGCGCTAAAGGCTAATGGGGACGAACTCTTTGAGTCTTTTTCGAATCTCATTGAGACTCATTTGTGAGTCCAATATAAGCTCAAGCAGCGGATGTCACTTTGGGTCATTCTCTCGGTAGCAATAACTCAGAAAGGTGCGAAAAATAACTAATAATCTATTCAAGAACAAGAAACATTAGATATCAGTATAAATACAAATATTCTCATCTTGATGTAGTGCTATATGTGATTGAACCTTATGTCTGCAAATTTAAGTTTGCGGAAAGTGAAATAGAAACCACACTGTTGTCAAAAATGCAACTGATTCTACATTGCGACTAATTGTCGCTTGCCTCCGAAGAACAGCTGCCCATAAAGTTTTAAAACTTTCAGAGTAGATAGATCTCAACAGTTGTTATAGACTCAAAATTTTCAAATGTTTTCTTCTAGGAGATATCGAGATCTCCAAAGAATAAAGATCATCCGCTTCCCTTTCTCAGTTGCAATACGCCTAATAGAATTAACATTTTCTTTTACACATACTAGACACTATTTGAGGTGTCTACCTTTTTTTTGGTTTCCTTTTATCTCCTTTCATTCTGAGCGTGTACCCCCGAAAAAACCAACGGTACATCATATTTTGAAACCAAATAAAAACCGACATTCATAACACTTTCTAGTATAACTAGGAAAAAGTTTCAGTTCAATGAAATGTACTATGCTTGAGAAACAGGGACGATTCTCCATTTTTTTCATTTCTTTTCGGTGCTTGCTTCTGTCGACATTCTTCAATTATCTTATTTGTTTGCGAGAAATCTCTTATGGGCATAACTTATTATGGTAATATGAAACATTCTGTTCCATCACTTTCAATTCTCAAGAAACTGTACGTTATTTGATACCGTCAGCTGTTTCCATTGTTAAAATGTCTTGATAATCAAACAGTCGATGCTCTAAGTTTATCATGCACTCTTCTGCTTAACTCTTTTTTTTACTGATATCTCTCCTCAATCATAAAAGACTCTTTCCTTATTGTCAGCTAAAATTTATTTGAAAAATAATTACGAACTTTTACCTTCTTTTTTGCACGTTTTCGTTTTTTCTTCATTGTCGCACTAAGTTTTAATATATCAGCAAAAACAAATTGATCAATTTTTTCACTAACATTAATCTTAATTTTTTTTAATTTATCTACAATAAAAATCATAATTTCATCAATAAAAAAATAAAAAGAAATATCAAGTAATACTAATTGATATTTACTTTCTTTTCGTTTTTTTAATGCATCTAAAATAATTCCTCCACATACATGTCCAATAACATTTTCATCAAGGTCAAGTTCTTGTAATTCTTCAGAGATTTCAATTAATCTTTAAAGAAAAAAAAAAGAATTTTATTTAATTATACTTTTATCATAAATACAAAAAATAAACAAACCGTGCATAAGCATTTATTGTTTGTTGAATAATACCAAAACCATCGGGTTGTAAACAATCAATTTCATTATCAAATAAATGAATTTTTGTAACAAATGGTCCAAATGGTGGTAGATCATCAAGTGTTAGTTTTTTCTTCTTTTTCTTTTCTACAATAAAAAAACTATCCATAGAAATTTGAAAAATTTTTTATATATTAAAATTATACTTTTTTTCTTTTTCTTTTCTTCTTTTTTCTCACTTTCAGTCAATTCAGGTGGTAAACCTTGTCTTTCTCGAAGTAAAGCTATATAATAATTGAAAAGAAAATAAAAAATTTATTTTTAACATTTAAAAAAACCTTCTTGTGCTTTTAATTCCATTTCAGCTCGTAATTTATCTTGTTTATCAATAAGAAATCTTTCACAATCAAGTAATAATAATTTTATGAGATCAAATGCACCTTGACATCCAAAATGATTTCCATCAAGATAAATTTCACTAAATTAAATTCTTTATTTAATTACGAAAAATAATAATAATAAATTCTTTCTATACGCTATAGCAGTTTGTACAAGAAGTCGACCTAAAGGATTTCCACATACAGGACCAAGATCACAGTATGTCATAGAAAGCTGCGTTATACATTGATTGTTCACCAAATTATTACATAATAATAAACATCCTTCATCACCAAATCTAAATATATAATTTTTATGAAACACGATCTAAATGAAATGTTGAAGCATAGGGATAAAAATTTGGATCTTCTACAGACGTTATTGATATACGATCTATGATCGTATATCAATAACATCTCGTTATAATATATGAATTACTTTCTTATTGCATTTCTGCAAGATTCAGTAAAAAAAAATTGTCCTAAAATAGATAGAATAAAACAATATTCCTGTGATCAACAAGCACAGTTACATCATATATCACATTTTAATCCTACAGCACTGAGTAGACTGGTCATCGCCGATGTGTTCTATTAATTTTTTTGCTCTTAGTATCTCATAGAGGATTTGTAATAAAACTTTATTGAAAGTTGATTATGTTAAATATCACTATCCACCAATGGAATAGTACGACAACTCGTCAGTTCAGTGTTGGTATGAATTTCAGACTGATCTGTCTGACCTACGCAGATTGGTTCCATCTTTGAAGAAAGTCTCATTGAAAAACGCCACTAGTAAGGATTAGAAATCTTCTTTACTGTGAACAAAGAAAGAATAGGAAGAAAACATCCATGAGAAAACTACATATGTAAGCTGAAATTGTATTTTTCACTCTATCATTCGATTTTTAAGGTAAAACTAATGTTTCTCGATATAGAGACATTTTTTGCGTATATCTAGAGTAAACGTCTCTCGCAGTCAAAAACAGTTATTTTTTCAGATTATATCGACATTGAAGAGAGATGATAAAGCAATATTGAGCTGAAAATAAGGTCTTTCTCAGTTACAGAAAAAATCACATGTCCGATTGGTCTGTAGAAAAATACCCCCTGTGTACATAGCTTGCACTAACAGTTTTTATTCATATTCTATCAATACTTGTTTTTTTCGATCATCACAAAAACCTTCGTATGCAAACAAAAACTTACTCGTTATAGTCAAGATTCAGTATTCGAAGTGTACGACATATACTAAATGAACTATAGGCAAAACGAAACAAAAAATACAATTACTATCAAAACTTTCAAAGATACATACGTTGAAAGTCTGTATAAAGGATCTGGTTGAAGAAGACAATCATTAAGTAAAAGAGTTTGAACAATAGTTGTTGGAAGTTTTAAATAAAGACCCTGACAATTATTAATTCATCATTCATTTTTATCGTAAAATATTTCTTACAAGTTCAATACAATCAAGTAAATCCATACAAATATTCCATACAGAAAATATTTTGACTGTATGAACTTCACAAGTTGATAATGTACGAACAAATGGTCGAACATAAGTTTGTAGCTATTCGATAGAAGTCAACAAAACAACATGCTTTTCTTTTTATTCAAAATATTTTCAAACTACGAACGATTGGAACTGCTTCCACTGCAGGTTTAAGTTCATCTGTTGTTTCAATAGGTTTAATTATTTTTTGAGGATTTGGTCGAAGAAATATCTGAAATATATCGATGAAAATTTTCTTTTCATTTTAATAAAATTGAACATTTCACTTTTGTTAAACTTTCGCCTTCTTCAATTAATAATCGAATTGTTTTTGTCACTTCAGTACAAGCAACACTATTCTGTTCAACACAATATTGATCATATAATTTTAAAATACGTCGTAATAATTGCACATTTTGTTCAAGTAATGCAGCATCTTTTTTCTTCGATTTTTTCTTTCCTTTTGCCATTGAATAACAACCTGAAAAAAACAAAAAAGTATAACAATCAATGATTCTCTTGATAATTGATCTGTCTTCCAAGCAAACAAAGAACGTATAGGTTCTGAGTTCATATGTCCAAGTCAATGGATTTGTAGACTAATGATGATATTCGTTTGTGCGAAATCTAAGTAGCAAATCTTTTAAAAACGTACTTAACCATTTTTATATTCGGTGTCTATAGTAATGCCTCTATGGATTAAATCATTTATGCACTTTGAATAAACAACTGAAATTAAAATTCTTAATAAAACTTCTATTTCAATTCTAATAATTTTTTTATTTTTGAAACAAATTTTAATTGAATAAATATTTGATCAATAACAACTTATAGACAATCGTTCGGTTCCAACAATCAAAAAAACTATTAATCAATAAATAAACAATCCGACAGCTGGATGAATAAACTATGGATTTTTCGTTCGTTGAATTAAAAGAACGAATGGAATAGTCAAGGAAAAAAACAACTTATATTTTATAGCACATTTTTTTGTACTTTTGCAGATTTACTTGATCATCATCATCATAAAAAAAAAGAACATGGGTTTCGGAAATCTTGAATCACGCGATGGTCTTCTTTTACTCAATATATTTCTTGCTGATAAATCTTATGTTGAAGGGTTTGTCTTATATATATATATATGTTCTGATTTATGTCTAAATTTTATTATTCAATAGATATCATCCATCACAAGGTGATGTTGTTGTATTTGAAGCTGTTAAAAAATCTCCAACTGCTGATCTTGAACATGCTTTACGTTGGTATAAACATATCGCTTCATTTAGTAATGCTGAAAGACAAAAGTAATTTGTATTTTTACTTTTTTTTGTTTCTTTGAAATTTTTTGTATTAGATTTAAAGGTGAACGTCAATCAATTGACCATTATGGACGTCAACATGGTCAAGATAGTCAAATAAAATATGAATTTAAAACACCCTCTGTTGATCCATCTAAAGTACAATCACCAAAAAAACCTGCTGCTAATGATGATGATGATGTTGATTTATTTGGTGATGAAGATGAAGAAGAAAGTGAACAAACTAAACAACGTTTAGCTGCTTATGCAGAAAAAAAAGCTACAAGTAAAAACTACAAAAAAAAAATTTTTATTTTCTTTCATATAAGTCTTTGTGTTTGTTATTTAAGAACCTACTGTTGTTGCTAAAAGTACAATTGTTCTTGATGTATGTAGTGAAATATAAATTAAAAAAATTCTGTTAATGAATTTCTTTTCAATAGGTTAAACCATGGGATGATGAAACCAACATGCAAGAACTTGAACGTAATGTACGTTCAATTGAATTAGATGGATTACTTTGGGGTGCTTGTAAGTTTTATTTATTTATTTTTGATTTAAAATGTACACTTGAAATATTTTTTATATAGCTCGTCTTGTACCACTTGCATATACAATTAAAAAATTACAAATTTCTTGTGTTGTTGAAGATGATAAAGTAAAATTGGTTATAATATTTATTTTTGATTTATTTTCATGATTATTTTTATAGGTTGGTACGGATATTCTTGAAGAACGTATTATGGAATTTCAAGATCATGTTCAATCTGTTGATATAGCATCATTTCAAAAGATCTAATTTTTGTTATGTTGCGTGATTTTTTTATAATTTAGAAAAACAAAAAAATAAGAAAATAAGAAACTTTTGTTTGTTTTTTTTTTATATGCATGACATGATGCCTTCGATTAATTTAGGAGAAATTGATTTATCCTATTTTGTTTTCGTTTACAGATGGCTGCTGCAATAGAAACAAAACTTTATGTAACGAATTTTCCAAGTTCAGCTACTCGACAACAATTACAACAATTTTTTTCACGTTTTGGTCGTGTACAAGAATGTGCGAGTAAGATATAAATTATTTTATTTTATTTTTTTGAAATTTAAGCAAAAATCTATTTAGTTATGTGGAATTCATATGCATTTGTTCATTATGCGACGATGGAAGAAGGTAAATTTAAATTCTACAAAAACAAATGAAAATAAAAAGTTTTGCTTGAAATTTTTAGCTCGTCGTGCACTTGATCAATCAAATGGTGCAATGTTTCTTAATCGAAAACTTATTGTTCAATTATCTACATCACGTTTTCGACCACAACCAAAAGAAATAAATAATGCAATATCACAACAACCTAAACAATTGATGGTTATGGCTAATCCATCATCATCGATTAATTATCATAATTTTACCAATGGAAATCATACTGGAGGAGGATCAACAATACAAAATCAACAGCAGCAGTCAAATACACTTACACAACAATATCCGAATGGTAAGTCATTTATTGAAATTTGTTTGTATTGACTATGACTATAAAATCATATAATCATAGAGTTACATGTAATGAATGAGATCTAAAGAGGAAACATATCCAAGTGTCGAACGCCGTTCGACTGCGTATTATAGCTACGAGTAGGTCTGAGTGTGGATTTTGACCTTAAATTTTGTCTTCAAGTAGCAGAGTTGAGCAAGTACTCAGTTTCATCGAGTACGAGCACTGGGTGTTCGGTCCACGAATACACGTAGAAGCACTAGGTGTTTGAACTATGAGTACCCAAACGAGTACTAAGCGTTCGAATCACAAGTGCACATATGAGTATTGGGCGTTCGGATCATGAGTACATGTACGCGTACTTGCTCAACTCTAATAGGTAGATTTTTAAGATGTTCAATTTTCGAAAAACAGCGGTTTACCAAAAGAGGATGCAGTAATCAAGTCTACTTGAAAATTGAATATCTCGAGAAAGATATGTTCATTTTTGATAAAAACTTTCAGGATTATCTAATCTGCCTATAGGTGAAATTTCAAGTCAAAATTCTTTGTTTTAGGTTTTACGGAAGTGCCTTATTTTCAATAAAAATTTTATTAAAACAGTCATAACTCTGTATTAGTAGGCCATAGGCTCTAGTCCTTTCAAGCATTTCTTAATCTCATAGGCATCTACTCATAGCTATAATAGGAAGTCAAACAATGTTCGACAGTTAGCTATATTTCCTCGTAAGTAGAAAGCAAACAAATTGCGACTGACAAAGTAAAAAATTTCTGAAGTTGAATAATATTTTACCTTCACTCACATATTTATGTTTTCTATTCTATATTTCAGAGCTCAATTTTGATATGATGACAAGTTATAATCCTCAACATTCACTATCATCTTCATCACCAATACAAGATGGAAATAATTTTTTTCCAAATACATATCGTCCTCCATCACCATTTTATTTATCTCAAGAAATAAATAATGTTTATTATCCACAATATTCAACTATACCTATAGATAGAATGACACCATCACCATTATCACTTCAAATAAATAAAATAAATCATATCAAATCGAATAAAAATAATATTAAAACAGGTATTCAAAAAATAAATAAATAACTTATATATATACATCATTTAAATTTTTCTTTTTAGATATTGGTGTAAATGGTGAAATTCCAAAATTATATTGTACGAATTTACCAGATAATTGTAAAGTCAATGATTTACAACGTTTATTTTCACCATTTGGTCATGTTATTGATTGTGTTATTCTATGGGATTATTATGCATTTGTTACATTTAAAACATTTTTAGAAGCAGAACATGCTTTACATGCACTTCATGGTTATACATGGAAAGATCGACGTCTTATTGTTGAATGGTCACGTGCATCAGGACGAAGACAACAACAGCAACAACAAACATCACCATCACCAGCAACACCAAAACTTAATTCATTTAGTTGTATGTAGAATAAAAAATTGTTTTTTGTTTTTTTTTATTATAATTTTTTTGTTATTTTATTTAGCGGAAGTTTCAACACCGCCATCACCACGTACTCGTCCATCAACATTATTATCACATCAATCTGCTTCTAATGAACAATTTTATGGAAATAATTCACCAAAAATTCTTTCACCACTTAAATCTCAATCACCTCATCATACGTTTAATCAAAATCTTGCTATGATGTCAATCATTCAACAACAACAACAACAACAACAACAACCTGTGTTACATCATCATCATCATCATCATTCATCAATACCATATGGAACATATACAAATAGAAATAATTTAGAAACATTAACGAATGAAAATCAACCAATATTTGATGGGTAAGATACTATGTTTTAAAATTAATATTTCAATTGATAAAAAAAGAATATTCGATTTCCGAGAGTAGATTCTTAATAATAAATAATAATTAGTATTTTTTGCGAGTTTAATTGATAAAGTAATCTATGGATGTGAAAGTCTTAGCATAAAATATTCGATCACTAAAAGACAACTTGTTAGACTAGAATCAGAATTTTTTTGCTATTTCTAAATATATTTTCACATTTTCCTTCTTCCATAAGATTGAATAACTATTAGTAAGTTTTATGAAAAAGTCTAAAACTATGTCTGTACAAAGTAAAATAGTGGTTTTGATGTAGCATTTAGCTTCTGTCTTAGAATAGTTTCAATTCAACATTATTAAATTCTGTGTAAAATGAGATATTGCAATAAGCGAAGTTTCATTTATATATTTCCACCAAAGAACTAATTTCTATAAAAATCGGCATTGGTCAAAAAATTGCTTTTAAAAATATAAAATTTTGAAAATCTATCATGAAAAAGTAGATAGAACGCTTTGTAGAGCAAACAAGCGTGAACTATTAAAAACTATTTTGCATTTTAAATTTGATAGATTTCAACTGAAATAGAAAATTGATCAAAATAGTATTCTGTGTAAACACTAATTTGAAATAATCTAATGATAGTTATTCAAGAAGAATATTCTGAACGCACATTTTAAAAGAAAGAAAAATTCTGATTGTAACTAACGAGATGTCTTTTAGTAATCGAATATTTTGTGCGAAGATTTTTGCACACTAGATTATCAGTTCAATCGATTTGTAATATATTTTTGAAACTGAATCGATTCTATTCTCGGTGAAGAGTGATATCAATTCACATAGAAA